GCATTCACACACATCAAAGGAAGATGTTCTTAGGTGGGGAACACAAAGGCGCAATACCTATGTGTTATCTGATCATATAAAATAATATTTATCAGAAGGACCTCCAGGAAATGGAAAGAAGTTTATTTTCCCTTTGGGGCTGTTTTGTTTTCTTTTCCTTTTGTCTTTTTTGATCATTTATCTGACTTTGAGAGGGTAAAGAGGAACAGAGAAATGGAGGAACAAAAGGTGAACAAATGCAACAGTGATGCTCACTAAACACTATGTTGAAAATGAACTATACACAAGGGAAAAAATGGGAGAGAGGAAGGGAAGGAATGACATTGTTCAGAAAGAATTGAACTCGGGCCGGGATGTAGCTCAGTGGCAAAGCGCTTGCCTAGCAAGTACAACGTCCTGGGTTCGATCCCCAGTACCAAAAAAGAAAAGACAAAAAAAAAATACAGTTAAAAAAAACCCAAACCAAAAAAAAGAAAGAAAAAAAAAGAATTGAACTGTTTATCTGACTTATGCAACTGTAACCCCTCTGTCCATCACCTTTACAATAGCAATTTTAAAATTCATTAAATAAATCAAAGAAGACTGGAATACAAGGCTAGGGGAGAGAGGGAAGAAAGGGAAGGAGGGAAGGAGGGAGGGAGGATGACTATCAGTACAGGCACATAATAGCATAAGGGGAATTGCCACCCCAGCTAGCCTAGCTCTATGCCCAATAAATACTAATACCCTATTACCAAGAACCTTCACTTCCAATTCCTTCATCTCATGACTAATTCACATTGACATTTTGCTTCTGGAACATGGAGTCTAGCCAAACCAAGTTGACAAGACACAAGAAGGAAACCTAAGAACTGAAGAAAGAAAAATCCACCAGCTGTGCAAATCACAGACTGTTCTGGTCAAGAACCATTCCCCTTGCTCTCTCCTTGAACAGTAAGCTATGCTTTAAACAAGAACCTCTACTAATACCAAGAAAACATTAAGAGAATCAAACTATGGGTGTGTGTGTGTGTGTGTGTGTGTGTGTGTGTGTGTGTGTGTGCGTGCGTGCGTGCATGTGTGTGTGTGTGTGTACAGGTCCTAAGGTTGGGCTCAGGGCCTGGGCATTGTCCGTGGGCTTTTGTGCTTATGACTAGCACTCTACCACTTGAGCTACAGCACCACTTCTGGCTTTTTTCTGAGTAGTTTTACTGGAGATAAGAGGGATGATGGGGGGGGGGCGCGGAAGATGGGAAGGGATGGGAAGGGGAAACAAAGGAGGAGGCAACAATGCTTGATAAGAAATGTTCTCATTACCTTGCCCATGTAATTGTAACCCCTCTGTATGGTATTTTCACAATTAAAAAAAAGAGTCTCTCAGACTTTTCTGTCCAAGCTGGCTTCAACCCACAATCCTCAAATAGCCTCCTGAGTAGCTAGGATTACAGGCATAAGCCACCAGTGCCTAGCACTTTCAGCTTTTTCAGTAGTTAATTGGAGACAAGAATTTCACAGACTTTCTTGCCCCAGTTGGCTTCAAACTGTGATCCTTAGATCTTAGACCCCTGAGTAGCTAGGATTATAGGCATGAGCCACCAGCACCCGGCAAGATTGTGGATTATTAAGTGGACTGTTACATCCATTCTGAGTCATCAGTGCATAAAAAAGAGAGAGAGAACTTACCCTAGCACACACAGAGTTAAGGTGGATCTGGCCAAAACCTGTCTGGTTTTTTTTCCTGCACGTTGTCCTGGGATTTTTCTGAAGGCTCATTGCTGACAAATATCTACATCCAGCTTCAGCTGTCACCAAAGCTCAGACCCACAAACCAACTAACTCTTGGGTCAACTCCTCAGGGCTCTTTTAAAAGTTCAATCTATGACATGCAGTGACACTGCAGTTACACCATCAGATTCTTTTCCCCAGCACTGTTTTTTCATTCAGTGCTTCCTTGTTCAACAGATGACATCATCATCATCTGGTTCCTTTGCCAGTAACTGGGGGAATGGTATCCACTGTTTGAACTCTAGTCCCACTACCTCCTGCCTGTGACCTTGGGCAAAGTGACTAAAGCATACCTCGAGTTTTGTCATGTGGGGAAAAAATGAGATAAGTGTTACCCCTGAAGATAAAGAGTTCCAAGCATTGAAGGAGTTAATGTGTACAAAATGTTACGCACACTGAGAATGTCTTTATGTATGCAGTTCTATCTTCAAGCCTGTACCTCTATTCCCACCCCTTTACCTGGTTAATTCCTCTGTATCCTCCTCATTTCAACTCAAATGTTTCTTTTTGCTCCCTAGAAGTCTTCCTTGAGCACCCCTGCCTTTCCAGGCTAGGTCGTATCTCATCCTCATTTTTCATCTTCAAAGTGCAGTATGATTTGCATTCATATCACATATCATAATTATATATTTACTTTGCTAATGGGCTCGATTAATAAAATGAGTGTCTCCTCCAATATCCTGAACTCTACATGAAGGCAGGGATTACTAGTGCTTCACTTCATTGTATATCCTCAATACTGTACCTGATGGTTAACTGGTGTTCACTATTACGTGAGTGAAGAGTTCAAAAAGCATGTTTGTCAGCAGAATGGGGGGACCTATAGATTCGAAGAGGACTCACAGGGTACCAGTCCAAGTGAATGCTCAAGCCATTACATTCCAGCAAGTCCCATCCTATCACTACAAAGCCTAGGATTCACTGTTTCTTTGACCATCATCTCACCTGTTCAGAATTGTGTTTCTTCAGAAAAAGAACACTCTGCAGGAACCTGCATAGCTATACCCTGAAGAGTTTGGGAAGGAAACCTAACCCTTCTAATGCCTTGCCTAAAGTAAATATGTCTTCACAATGGGTATGAGTGTAGTGTTGAAAGCACATGTTTTTGTACCATGGGATTTCGAATGCTGCCAACTACTACATCTGGAGCTCAGCTGAAGAAATAACTGTCTGTTTCAACATGGGGATGAAACTGAGCTGTATTACCCTTTGGCGGGAATAGCATCTTCCTTCTCCAATGTGGTGCTAGTAAGGAATTTTCAAGAATACTTTGGAGTGGGGGTATAGCTCAATGGTAGAGTGCTTGTTTGGCATGAGCAAGGTCAAGGATTCCATCCATACTATCACAAAAAATTAATTTTATTATGCCCAGTTATTGTTTATGCAGTAATTCTAGAAACGAGTCTTGTAATAAGGAACTTGTGGTGGGCAAAGTATTCAAAATGAAGGAGTTTTCTTTTAGACAATATAGGTTTTGAATTCAGAGCATCACACATGGTAGGCAGGTATCTAAGACAATACGACTAGGCCAAAAGTGAAGGTTTTGACATTGGACTCAAATTATGGCTCTAGCACTTATTAATTATGGATGAAACATGACCTCGCTCAACCACAGTCAACTCATCTATACTAAAAAGAGAGATCATAGCTGGGCTCTGTTAGCTCATGTCTGTAATCCTAACTACTCAGAAGGCTGAGATATGAGGATCATGGTTCGAAGCCAGTCCAGGTAGGAAAGTCCATGAGATGTTTTTCTCCACCAAAAAGCCAGAAATGGAGGTATAGCTCAAGTAGTAGAGTGCTACCCTTGAGCACAGAAGTTCAGGGACAGCACCCAGGCCCTTAGTTCAAGCCTTGGACCAGTAAAAAGAAGATGACCTACAGCTTATGATTTTATAAAGTATTACATAAAATATGTGCTATATGGCTGAATTATTGTCTTTAAGGAAGTTCTTTGTACACAAAATGCTATTTTATAGGATCATGTTCTATAGCATGTTTCACAGTGTTCCATCCCCAGAAGGCATTCAGGGAATTCCAGGATCTTCCTCAGACTTTTGTTTACTCTGTTCTGAACTAGCAGCCCACTTCTTTATGGGAGTGTCTGACCCCACTCTTCTATTTTGAGTAGAACAGCTTATGCATAAATGATCTTTTTTCCTGAGTTATACAATTGAAATGTTATACAAGCCACTACCCCACTTCCTTTTGTCTTTCATGCTAAACAATAAATGTAGATTTTTGCTAATTTCTTCTCCACAGACACAGGCATACAGCCTTCATTGATAATATGATTTCCCTACAACAGAACCCACATATACTACACAAGACAACAGCTATAAATATAGAAAAAAAGAAAACACTAAAGAAAGAGAAGCTGAAATGTCTAAGTCACAATGCTGTGAGGAGAAACAAATAATCCTGTGCTTGGGCCATATTATTTATTTTATATCTGTTACATATAAGAAATAGTAAAGCCAGGAACTGGTGATTCATGCCTATAATCCTAGCTCTTACTCAGGAGGCTGAGATCTGAGGATTGGGGTTCAAAGCCAGCCTGGACAGGAAAGTCCCTGAGATTCATCTCCAACTAACCACCAGAAAACTGGAAGTGGCGCTGTAGCTCAAAGTGGTAGAACACAAGCCTTGAGCAAAAGAGCTCAGGGAAAGCACCCAAGCCTTGAGTTCAAGCCCGAAGAACAACAACAACAAAAAAAAGGGACAAGAAAAGAAAAAGAAACAATAGTCATTTGCACAACATACCTGTTGTCCAAATGGCATTATATAGGCACTTATTATATAGAACTACCTTCCAAAGTAGTTCTATATTCAAAAGCTTACCACATAATTGGAGGCACAAAACAAATGGAAAACGTTAAGTATGCACTAAATAATAATAAAGAATCAGGCAAAGGCAAGACAGGCTGCTTCAGAAAAAAATGACGCTCTCCTGAAAAGGTGTCAGATGAGTAGGTAGATGAAAGTGGAAGAACACTGGAGATACACTGAAGATCAAGAACCACCTCCGGTTTGGGCTACAGACTGAAAACATAGACACAAACATAGAAATGATTTAGGAAATTACACAAGCAACACAACAAGAAATGTAATGTTTAAATGAGGATGTGGATTACATCTCCCATGCAATGAAACAGTTAGCTTTCAAGAATCCATGTTCCAAAGTGCAAATCTTACATCCATTCTTCATTGCCACAGCCACAGGTTATATAACTTACCCTGATAAGAGAAGCCTGATGCCGAAGAGGTTTGGTTCCTGGAACCCCTGATGATGATCCCTCAGGTTGGACAAGGGGCTGCCTAGCTTCATAGGGAGCTGAAACTGTAAGAGAGAAAGCTGATGGCATACAATGGTCTTACTCAAAAATGAAGACCTGACACCCAAACACATACAGCATCTACTTTTCACAGGAGAATTGGCAAAGAAATCAAAGCATTTGCTTATTGGGCCATCTAGAAAATTGCTGATCTTCTTGAGTGCAATTGAACTACCGATCTAAAGACATCCAACCATAAACAGGCAGAAAAATATTTTCATCATGTTAATGTCAGGAATAAAGTGTTGGCGTGGAATACTAAGAACCTAATTGGGATTTTAAAAAGAAAATAATAAAATGCTTAATAAAGTGTCTTGGGGGGGGAGTGTAGTTGTGGAAGTGGGAGGGAAGGGATGGTAGGGGGAAAACAAAGGAGGAGGCAACAATACTTGATAAGAAATGTATTCATTGCCTTGCTCATATAACTGTAACCCCTCTGTACAGTATTTTCACAATAAGAAAACATAAAAAATTAAAACCTTAAAAAAGTGTCTTGTTGGGCTGGAGGCATGGCTCAAATAGTGAAGCACCTGTCTATCAAGCATGAGGACCTATGTTTAAGCCCCAGTATTGCAAAGCAAATACCATATTAAAAATATTCAAATTTGATTCCTGTTTCCTGTGGTATGTTGGACCAAACTCTAAAGTGATGATGATCACTTACATATTAGTTGGGCTCTTTGTGCGTGTGTGTGTGTGTGTGAGAGAGAGAGAGAAAGACAGACAGACAGACAGACAGACAGACAGAGACAGAGACAGAGACAGAGTTCATTAGTGGTTTTGAGATTTGATCTATAGTTCAACCTATAGTAAATACTGGCTACAGGTCAGAATTAAAGGAAAGACCTTATCTGAATAAGTAACAATTCCAGCCTGACACACTATATCTCTCTCAAAACTGGCTGCACTGTAGCTAGAACACATAATAATGACTTTGCTAATATGGCAGAAAAACAGCTAAGCACAACCAGATAATATTAAACTCCAACAGAAAGGAGCAATTATCATTCAAGTAGAAACAATCCTCATCTCCATAGGTTAACGGTTTGAGGACAGGAAAGTATATACATACACAAAATTCTTTCTGAAACTTACTAAATTTTAAAAATTCAGTGGAAAGCAGAACATCATGTTTAGTATACTCTGATCGTTTTCAAATAAAGATGGTATATAACAATACATCAAAAATTTAAAACCAGCCTGGTGTGGTGACACATAACTGGAATCCTAGCACTCAGGAAGTTGAGGCCGGAGCTTTGCTAGTTTCAGGGTTAGTCTGGGCTACGTAGTTATCTTCTCTCTAAAGATTTTCTCCTTCCATTAACATGAAAGCCTGGGGTATCCAAGCTTGTCTGTGAATGCAAACAGGAAAGTCAGAAGTATATATGGCCACATACCTTAAGATATGCTCCAGTCAGCTATATAACAGCAAAGCTGATATTCAGGCCATCATCAATCTGACTTCTGGCTTAATTATTCCTCAATTGAAACTCAGCTCAGTAAAAAGGTACTATTTATTGCCTTGATTCTCTTCCCTCCCAAATGAAATGAAAAATATGTGTGCCAATTCAAACTAAATAATTCTTTAATCCCCTTACAAAAGGTTTAGTAATGAGGAAATAGAAGTAATATATTTCTTCAAGGAGAGAAGTATTTTTTAAACCAATACATATTATACTTAGAAACTGATTTGTTGGGTGGTGACTCTTTTGCACAACTACTTAAGATAATAAAAATATAATTTAAAGTAAAAAGATTTCATCACTCTGAAATTTAGTACCAAAGTAGAACTCTTTTGCCATTATCTACTGACCTTAAGACTCAACAGTTCCACTCCTGCTTGTCAGTGACATGAGAGTCTATGTCACAAAAAGGACAAATGTTTATAGTATTCTTACTTGTAATAGCCAAACGCTAGAAATAATTCAAATATTCACCAATAGAAGAATGATTGTCAAATTGTGGTATAGTCATATAACAGAAGTTACTACCAATACAACTATATAGAAAAATGCCAACCATTATGTTGAGGGAAAGATGGTAGACATATATAAGTCCACTTATTCTGTTTCCATTTCTATGAAGGTCTACAAAAGGCAAAAACAATGTATAGTAACAAAAATCAGAATAGTGCTTGAATTAGGACTGGGAGTGACTGGAAAGGGCTGTTTTCACTTACATGGTGACTACATGGGCATAATCCATTTGCTAAAAGTTCAAAGTGAAATTTGTGCTGTGTGTGTTCACCAAGTGTGGTAGCACACAAACTCTGTATTAGGAGGCTATAAAAGGAGGATCACAAGTTTGAGGCCAGCCTGGATGACATTGTAACTACAAGGCCCACTGGGGCAACATAGCAAGACCCTGTCTCAAAAAAATAAATATATAAATCAAAAATAAACAAAATGTGCGTTATAATATATAGATTTTACCTTATTTTTTTAAGTATGTAAAGGAATGGGAGCCTAGACGGCCAGAAAGGAGGGAAGCAAGCTGCTCCTTGGCACTGTGATAATGGAAACTCAGTTTGGATGGAATGAAGAGAGGAAGCCAGAAACAGAAAGAGCTTGATGATAAGCTTATTCTATAGAACAAAACCTGATTTACCTGTAAGTTAGAAATGAACTTCCAAGCCAGGCACTGGTGGCTCACGTCTGTAATCCTAGCTACTCAAGAGGCTGAGATCTAAGGATTGCGGTTCCAAGACAGCCCAGGAAGGAAAGTCTACAATAAACTAACTCCCACAAAAGTCAGAAGTGGAGTTGAGGCTCAGATGGTAGAGAGCTAGTGTTGAGTAAAAGAAGCTTAGGACAGTGCCCAGGTCCTGAGTTTAAGCATCAGAACCAGCACACAAAAAAAATCCAAGCCAAAATAAGATTCAAAAAAGAAAAAAGATTCACTTCAAAAATAGGGAAAATCAGGTAAGGATAACTGTAAGAGGAAAATGAAGAGTTCCCAACCTTGTTTAGTTTAAGATACCGATGGGATATCTAGGTTTTAGAACAGTCTTTTTGTGTGACTATTGCCATTGCCAACATCTTCTTGCACTTATGTAGGACTTAATTTAAAAACATTTTCTACTGATGGTCTCATGGAATCCTTCTAACATCCCTATAGGTTACTATAACTCTTGTTTAAGAGAAGTTAAATGGTTTGTCTGAAGTCATGCGGCTGGACATAGAAACCTACACTTTTTGGTTCAATTCAGAGATCTTTCCATCATACCATATCTACTTCTGTCTGCAAGATTACAGCCTCCCTTTAGTTCAGCCTAGTACACATTTTTATTTTTGTGACCCTCTAGAAGTTACCACTTTTTTAGTGCAGAAAAAAAATTGCCAAAACTGGGTCATTTTCAACCAGGGTCCACAAAAATCCCAATTGTACAGTACTTTAAATTGGTCCATCTTAAAGCAGACCCTGAAACCCAGAAAGATGAGATACTGCAGTGAATTTATGAAGCTTTTTGCACTGCAGCCTGGGCAGCCAACTCTGCAAGTCATCCTCACAACCAACTAACATATTTTACCAGTAACATGGCTAGCAGAGCAGAAATGTGAGTAAGCAGGTAACCCTGTAACTGTGCATGATACATGCTTCCTGCAAAATGCTATTCTTAGCATTTCCTTTATCCTTATTCAAAAAAATCAAGAACCCAGTATTTTTATTTATGTCTTCAATCTTTAAAGGTTTGGATCGACTCTTTTGCTTTCACGTAGTGATATTTTTTTAAAGAAATATGATAAAAAGCAATTATTACATAAATATGTTTGGTATATTCATAGAAAGGAATAACAATTCCCCCAAAATGCAAACCCTTAGCATTCTATGGCCTTGTGTGATGAACTCCCTACATAAAAGACTAAATCATAGAGACTCCATACATAAAAGACAAAACTAAAGATGAACTCGTTTCCAGAACAGGAGACAAAGCATTAATTTCATTAACAAAAATTTTGGCTCAAGAATATCAAAGTAAATTGTGCCATGTTTCTAGAAACAAGAATAATCAGATCAGGACATTAAACAGCTGGTGGCATTGCTGCCTGGTAGATTAAGGATACTCCAAAACCTTGCCTGGGACAGCTAGCCCCCAGGTCACCTCTTACCTGGATGCATCTGTTCAGTGCTGCTCCGCAGTTTGCTGTAGCCATGGCTCAAGGGCACCCTCTGGTAATGAGGCGGGGAAGAAGGAGGGGAGGCAAGAGGTGACATCGTGGGAGACTGTGTTTCCTGCTTCAAAAAAACCAGAGCAGAGTTCAGAGACAACCACTGGAGAAGCCTGTCATTCTGAGCTGCAGTTAGGAAGCATAACAGAACCCTACGGCTGATGACCTGACTGATTTAACAAATGGGGAGACGTATTTCCGAAACACACACACACACACACACACACACACACACACACGGAGTGCAGTTAAAAGGCAGTGTCTAGAAATTCAAAAGTCTCCCAGAGAAGAAAGTCTCAGCAGTACTGAGTTAACCTAAATTACGAAAACCAACCCAAAATGCTTTCAGTTACTCCAATAATATAGTTTCCTGTGGAAAATAAAAGACACTGATCACATGAAAATTCATATGCCTCAAGTGTGATCTCTGTGTCAGTTCAGTTTTCACCCATTAATAAAGACTCCAACTTCCTAGATTCATACTTAATAAGTATAAATGTAATAAAATCTATAGTTAATACTAAGTATTCTTGGTGTTTACTATGCCAAATTAAATACCAGCTTTTTGTGTTTGATTTGTGCTGAGAATATACTACTCCTAAATACCAGAACAAATCCTTCACATGCTGCATTCCCAATTCAAGTATGAACCTGACATAGTACTCTAGACAAAGTAACTAAGCTGATTGATCTGTTGTTGGGTTTCCTCCTCATTTTTTAACACTACCAAGAGTGGTAACTTCGAGGTAACCACATAACAGTGTTTTACATAACACACAGACTCTGTCGTCCTCTTTACTTTAAGGAGAACTATGAAATCTAATTAAATACTCTCTTAAAGAGAAAGAAAAATTATATTTGCTCCGAAGTGTGTGTTCACATCTATAGAATTGATGGGCCTAACACAGACCCAGCAAGAAATAAAAGGATGCACCCTCTTTCACACAGCCAGAGACAATTTCCCAGTACATCAACCACTGTGGGCCAGTAGATTCTTCTCCAAATGCTAGTGAGAAACATGCAAAACCATATTGACTAGAGATTTCTATACCTCCTTTTAAAATATACCTCTGAAGAACTAGTTTAAAATGTGCGTGGATGACGAAAGCAACAGAACATGCAATTGTTTAACAGAATGTGCTATGATATGCCTCCCTTAACTATAAATATAATCCTTTACCTAGGTATGGTGGTACATGCCTGTAAGTCTAGCATTTACGGTCATGTGATCTCAACCAGCCTGGGCTACATAGCAAGGCTCTGTCTCAAATAATCAAAATAAAATACATAAAATCTTTTACAGAAACACCTTAGATATCCATCATCATTACAGTAAACTGTGTTAGTTTCCCTATATAATCCTTTAATATTCATGGAATTTAAAAACAATTTGATTCAAGCCTTCCTAAAATACAGAAAATTTCTTTACTTTATGGAAGATGCTGTGCCAAATATAATGTAACTTTCTATGTGACTCAGAATCTTTATCAGAAGTATGAGCTATTCTTTGATGTGCTGGGCCTTATTAACATGCAAACTATTTGCGAGGCCTACTCTTCTAGGATTTCATATTTTTGTCTTCACTAAACACCATCTGACTATTGCAATTAGTGGCCTAATCTTTTTTTTTTTTTGTCAGTCATGGGGCTTGAACTCTGGGCCTGGGCGCTGTCCCTCAGCTCTTCAGCTCAAGGCGAGCACTCTACCACTTGAGCTACAGCGCCACTTCCGGTTTTCTAGTGGTTTATTGGAAATAAGAGTCTCACAGTCTTTCCTGCCCGGGCTGACTTTGAACGGCGATTCTCAGATCTCAGCCTCCTGAGTAGCTAGGATTACAGGCGTGAGCCACCGGCGCCCGGCTTAGTGGCCTAATCTTAAAAGCCCTTCTTCCCTCTTCTACTTCCAAACCCACGGCATTCCAAACAAGCAGCATTTCCTAAGATGCCATTCCAAACATGTTGAACCAAGAAGGGATTCCTTGATGAAAGTAACCATAGATCACCAGGTCTCTTTACTGTAGGGTTTCTCTGCCTAGGTACACTATAAATTTCTAAGACTGGTGGTCTAGTCTTCTCCCCAAGAACAGGATATGAAGCTATGTTAACCAGAGGACCCTTTAAGATCCTAGAGACATCATGTAAGTATACAAAATGAATCAGTTTCTTTGTTTTAGATATAATTCTACATTAAAGTAGGTTCTGAAAGGTCTACAGGTAGTTTGTGGTAATTCCCATGCATCAGCTCTTTTTACTACCATGAAAATTAACTGGCTCACTTCTGAAACTGTAATTGTACTCCACATAGTAAGATTTGCTGGAAGTGAGGCCCTGCAACATGAGTGTTCATACTCAGGATCAAACAAACATGCCTAATCAGGCTATTTTACCTGTTTCTCCTCATCGTCCATTCTTTTGAAGGAAAGTTTTTCCGCGGTTAAATATGGAATCTGAACCTTCGTTCCATGAAGCTCAGTTGGGTTCCCAAATCGGATCTCACCATCATTCTTTGACATCATAAAACGAGGCAGAGGCAATTCTTTAGGACCAAAAGGAGAAAAGCTGAAGTGAGACTTTATTTAAAAACTGCAGAAAGGGAGGCGAGGCTCAATGGCCCAAAGCTGACTCAATGGCCATTTTTGAGAAAAAAAATTCCAGAGCATTAAATACAGATTAAACATCAGTTTAGGCACAATGAGGGTTACAAGGCTACAGTTTCACAAAGGTGTTATACTTGTAGCCTCTTTCACTGCTGCTGAATCATCACAGAAGCTGATCCCTCACTTAATCCTTTAGCATAAAGAAAAAGGACTTGGAATTGCATAAATACAAGAAGTGATAAACAGTAGCAATGAAAACTCAGACACACTTAAGTATGCCAGTTGCAATGTTAAGGAATTGCAAATATTAACTTACTGAATCCTCACAAGTAAGTATAATAAAACTATCATGGGTCTAAGCATGGTGGTACAGGTCTATAATCCCAGCTATACAGGGGGTGTTAAGTACAAGGGTCAAAATCAAATGCCTTATCGGAAAATTAACTAAAAGAAGAGGGTTAGGAGTGAAAATAGTGGAGTGCTTGAATTCAAATGTTTTATCACTGCAAAAATATCAAATCTTTACAGATATAGAAATGGACACAAAGGAACTGAATAATTTCTCTAACATCACATAGCTTTTCTGTGGGCAAGCTGAATCCAAGCAAGCTAGTTCTTAACCAGTGCCCTATATTAGGTTCCTTAGCTCTGGGGACAAACTTACAAGGCTGAGCAGTTTCTTACACAATGTAATTCTTTAAGGAATTTTCCCACTCAATCGCTGGTTGTCTTTTGATAACATAATGAAGAAAACAGTATCAAGTCAGATCAGTCAAACATTTAGCCAGATTCTAATGTCAAAACCATTAGCCATTTGCAATGCGGCAAAGAGCTGAAAGGCCATGGTGAGGTATATTTACTTTGTCTTTTCAATTTTTGACAAAACATTTCAAAAATGAAAATGATGCATTGACATACTTCTAGTTCTCAACACGGCAAATCACACACAATCACATTGCACAAAGACTCACAAAAAACGAGGATAATGTTATGGATTGTGCATAATGATTTGCATCTGTAGCCATTGTTCGGGATAATACTCCACGTGCCTTCGCAGTCTCCCATTCCAAAAGCACAGCTGCACTTCCAATGATTGATGCTATGCTAAAGCCAGAAAACGTCTTAGCAAACAGCTAGTTCCCCAGGCAAAGAAGGCCCGTGGTTCTCTAATATCCACATCATGTTTATTTTTAGTTGCTATGTCCACATTTGATTCAAAGAAACAGGCAATGTGACAAATCCTTGTGTGATCAATCAGCCACAGGCCCAAGAGACATAAATAGAGGGACCAATCTGGAAAATTAAACTAGGACTGTCCTCTGAAGAGAAGACAGCAGCCATTTTGAATGTTCTAATGTTTCCCAACTTTAGGCAGCACTCCAGGACTCAAGACAGGAATGGATTTCAAAAGGAAAAAAAAAAAGACAAAAGTAAAGAAACTCCAGAGTCTTACTGAATAAAATGCAAGCTAATCCTATGCTTCTGTTCTCAGAAAGGTATTTCTTTCAGTTCAGTCTGCAACATGGGTGGAACAACATCATATAAAAATCCTTTGTGCCCTGACCCAGAAAAAGCTGACTGATGGTACATCCAGGTACTTTTTGAGGGAGAAGAGAAAGACATGCTCAATATTCATGAGCTCCCTGACCAGTGTTTTATTGGCATTCAAAAGATCATGCCAGAGAACACCATGGAATACACCTGGTTATGAATAGCAATACCTATCCTCAGATTTAAACCCGGATCTTAAGCACCATTTATGACACTGTCACATCACACATTTTCCCAATCTGGTGATGGCATTTCAACAGAATTGTTGGCTTAGGAAACAAATTCTCTCTCAAGATGGCCTCCAAATAGCAAAATATAGCTGAATTTCTCTTATTTTTCTTTAGTAATGAGGTTTCAAATAATTCTCTCTTAAAAGAACTGTAACCATATATAATAACAGTCTTATGGAAAATGTTCATGATAGTACCATTCCTCTTAAGCTGCTTCAACTTATTTTAAAAATAAAAGGCAAATCTAGTTTATAACTTTTCAGTCTGAATTTTTCTCCTTGTAATATGTACACAAAATTGAATAGTGAAACCTCATTAGAAATTAATCAAGTATTTGCTATGCAGTGATATGTGCCAAGTGATCGCAACTGGTTAAAATCTTGCCTCCTAAACAACTAAACTAACACATGGGAAACAAACTAAAAACACAAATTCAATGTTTATTGAGACCAAAAAGACAATGAGAACAGCATCCTCCCAAAATTTAGTTTCATGGCGGTATCTTACATTCCTTGAACACAGAAATGCTTCATATATTAACTACACATGCATAACTAGACACTGGCTCAGGGGGAAAAAAAAAGCATTTATCTGGCAATTCTTCCTTTCTACAAAGAAAGGTATACTTCCTCTTTTTTTGGTGGGGGAGGGGTCAGAAATGGGACTTGAACTCTGGGCTTGGGCGCTGTCCCTGCACTCTTCAGCTCAAGGCAAGCGCTCTACTGCTTGAGCACAGCACCACTTCTGGTTTTCTAGTGGTTTATTGGAAATAAAAGTCTCACAGACTTTCCTGCCTGGGCTAGCTTTGAACCACGATCCTCAGATCTCAGCCTCCTGAGTAGCTAGGATTACAGGCCACCGGTGACCAGCTACTTCCTCTTTTTTTTTTTTTAATCCAGTGGTGGGGCCTAAACTCTGGGCCTGGGCGCTGTCCCTCAGCTCTTTAGCTCAAGGCTAGCACTCTACTACTTGAGCCACAACACCACTTCCAGTTTTTTTTTTCTGCTTATGTGGTGCTGAGGAATCGAACCCAGGGCCTCATGCATGCAAGGCAAGGGCTCTACCACTGAGCCACCTTCCCAACCCTACTTCTTTTTTTTTAACTTATAGCTGTCTAAAAAGTAAAGGAAAATCTCTTGTGTTTTTTTTTCCTTTTTTTTGTTTTATGGTACTGGGCATGAACTCAGGGCCTCATACTTGCTGGGCAGGTGCTCTACCACTTGAGCCAGGCCTCCCAGCCTTCTTTGCTTAGTTATCTTTCAAACAGGATCTTGATATTTTTGCCTAGGCAGCCTGGAACACAACCTTTCTAGCTTCATATGCTTTCCTCGTAGCTGTGATGACAAATGCATGCCATCATGATGTTGGTTAAGACAGGTCTCCCTAATATTTCACTTGGGCTAGACTCAAACCTTGATCCTCCTGATCTCTGCCTCCCAAGTACCTGACAGGCCTGTACCACCATGGCCAGCTTGTTTGTTGAGATGGAGTCAAACTACAATCCTTCTGATCTCTACCCCTCAAGCAGCCAGGATTATAAGCCCAAAGCATGGTGTAAGCCATGGCCAGGTCCTATTCCACCATCTCTGATAAACACATAAATGGGAGAAATATTTCAATTTCCTCAACCAACTAGAAAAATATGAGCATCATGAATGTAATAATAAACGGCAAATGTCACTAGATTTTACTACCAAGACAACAGAGAGTGATGGTGGTTGGGAAGAGGATCCAAATCCCAAATGTTTACTGTCTTTCAATCCTGTCCCTACAAATATATGCCAATATATACTTATTAATTTTGTAGCTAATATGCTTTAAAGGCTTTTTTTGTACCAAACCTGGGGCTTGAACTCAGGGCCTGGGTTCTATCCCTGAGCTTCTTTACTCAAGGCTAGCACTCCCCCACCTGAGCCACAGCTCCATTTCCAGCTTTTTGGTACTTTATGGTAGATAAGTCTCACAGGCTTTCCTGCCTGGGCTGGCTTTGAGCCACTATCCTCGATCTCAGACTCCTGCTTATTATAGGCCTTTTGAAAAGTGAAATAAGACAGTTACAAAAGACAAATGCTTCCACCTACATGAACTATTAAAAGTGATCAAATTCATAGGAATAGAAACTAGAGGGCTGGATATATACCTCAGTGGTAGAGTGCTTGCTTGGCATGCTTAAGGCCCTGGGTTGGATCCCCAGCACCACAAGTACATAAAATGTGTCTTCCCTGACACACTGCTGACCCTGGCTACTGGAAGATGCTAAGGACTCCACCTTCTGGGAGGGGCCTGTAGATCACTTACTAGCCTGAGCTTGGAAGTCTCATAGCCTGGGAATTGAGTTCAGTGACAATGCTAAGGTACCTAGCACTGAGGTCTAATAACTCATTTTAGAATACTCTCCCAATTTTCCTCTTGGGATTGGGGGATGTGGCTCAAATGGCAAAGTGCTTGCCAAGCAAGCAAGAGGCACTGGATTCAATCCCAAATACCACAAAAAAGAAAGAGAAATGTAGAATAGTTGCCAAAGGCTACAGAAGGAGAGGGAGATGGAGAAGGATTTAATCAGAGTCTACTTTGCAAGGCAAAGTGGAAAAGTTCCAGAAACTGGATGCACACCAATGTGAACACACTAAAACTACTGAACTATATATTTAAAAATAGCTGAGATGGCAAGTTTTGTACTACGTATATTTCACATTATTTTAACTTAACTACGTGTATTATCCTCACTGCACATTTCCGTTCATACTTGCCATATCTGAAATACTCATTTGCTACCTGTGTTTAGTGACTACCATCATAAAACAGTAGAGCTCTAGATACTAGTTTTTATGAGGGAATGTGGAACATTGTAGTCAGAAATGTCTTGAGTTCTCTTTAAATTATGCACAGAAGTTTTCTTTTCTTTTCTTTCTGTTTAAAATGTCTATTTGATATTTTAAAATATTCTAGAGGCAGAAACACATACACTTCATGTAGTGAGGTCACATCACACTAGCACTGGTTGTCAACCAACTTAGCTGTATTTTCTAGGAGGAGAAAGGAACTACAATCAATACAAACAACAGATATAGTAATCCTGTAATTCCAGTGTTTGAGTTACATCTCCCCATAAATATGTAGACAATATCAATCTGATTTGATTTTACTGGTCCAGTTCC